TTTCATTTTATGAAAACTATGTGTAAATCAAGGCAAAATTAAAATTTGTAAGGAAATAGCCTTAACATTGCAGATAAATTTCGGATATATCTCCAGTTGTTGTTACAGTATATAGGCGACAATTAAACCACTCAACACGGTTCTCAGTACCTTTTTTATACCCGGTACTCGAAGAGTAAATAAGGTACAGATTTCTTACCGTACCTCGTACCTTTTTAAAATTTTGGAGACCACCATTTAATCAGACAACATTGCTTTTGAAAGAGGCCACAGATTTCTAATATATTTTGTTAACCACTTTCATGTATATATGTAACAATCTTCAGAAGAGAATGCTAACGTGGAACACACGATATAGTTTTTGTTAAAGATCTTCAGGAAATTGTCATAAGAATTCTGATATTTGCATGAATATGGGTATGAATTTCTGGGTGGTGTTACTGTGCATTATGTGCATGCTTATCAAAATATAACTTATGGCATGGCGTAGAGTGTGGTCCACTCTCTGGCGACTCGGTCGTGCTGCTCTCGGTCCCTCTTGTACATGTTGGCAACTACGATTTCCATGGGGTCGTCAGGATTGGGATCTGCTAGCAGCGACATGATCGATAGGAGAACTTTATCTGCCGTCAAGATAGGCGACCAGTTGTTCGATAGTATGTCCAGGCATATGTGGCCGCCACTGGTGATGTTGCAGTGGTAAATCTGAGTCGTAAATTGTACATGAGGCGGGACATACGGGTAGTTATCTGGAAATAATACATCCAATTTAAAGTGCCCTCCCTCATAGGGAGAATTGGAAGGGCCGTGAATAATGCAGTGCCAGTGGGTTATATCGTCTTCAACGATCTTCACATGGCAACCGTCCGTTGGATTGAGCATTATTTCTTTTAGCTCACGGACAAGACGTCCCTTGGGGCCACCGCCCCGTGGCCGTTGTACGGCGCTACTAGTAGCATTTCGGATAGCGGTGGCAGCACGCCGATTCCTTATGCGGTGGGTAGCATGACGTTGTACGGCGCTACTAGTAGCATTTCGGGTGGCGGTGGCAGCACGCCGATTCCTTATGCGGTGGGTTGCAGTACGCTGGACGGCGCTACTAGTTTCATTCCGGGTGGCGGCGGCAGCCCTGGCAGCAAGCTCAATCCTTATGCTTCGTCGCAAAGACATGGTCTAAAAGACTGTCAAAACTTCAGAAAAACTTGTATATTTCCAAGCATCTCGCTTACCTTTAGGTTTTGTACGCACAGATTTTTGAAATTTTCGATGTGTTTTTATTAAGTTTTTTCTTAACTGTTTAACACTTTGAATGTGAGTGAAAAATGATTGCATTAGCACAGCCAACTTGAACTCCGTTTTGTAAGAGGCCTATAGAAAACCGAGAAATGGACACAAACTTGGTTTCTCAGTCAGTTATTATACTTTTTTATACTTTTTATTACTTCCTTTTGTTTACTACCGGTCCGCACGCTGAGTAAATCGAAGTGTCTTGATTTCCCGCCTATCGATAGTTCTTAGTGATCTACTTAACCTATTGGTATCTCCACTCGATGTATCGGTGTCGTGGACGATAAGAACGCGCGCAGTTACTTATTCAAAAGATGTACTGCTTAAAACAAACAACATTCTACAGTTTTATAATATAAAGTGTATCAGAAAAATTCGACCTAAAATAAACTCATATTAAAATGTTCTATCAAATCGAGATAAGCTTTCCATAACACGCGCTTTTAACTCCAGAATTAAAAACATTAAGCCAGAAAAAATGAACAGATAGAAAATGGTTTCAAAAAAACTTATATAAATTCCAGTTGCAACTTTTTGCTGCTTCATCAATTCATTTACGATATTTAAAATGGAAATAATAATATAAGAAATCGAAAACAATCTTCGTCAAATATCAGACCAATTAAAAAACCAAGCGCAACTGAGAAGTGTTGTAGATTTAGATGACAGATTAAGAAAAAATTTAAAATTTTACAAAAAACCGCTAACGGACAGATGTAGAACTGAGTGCCGGGTTTAAAGACGTGACGCGTTAGAAGCGTCTCACACGTCCCTTCCCGTTTCATCTTGGATACATGTTCTGGATAAAGTTCCGGATAAAATGTTCTGGTATTCACCATAGTGCTCTTTTTGGTTGTTGTTTTTTTTTACTTTTATTTCTAATTAATCTCAGTATTATACAAAAAAACTATTTTATGAATTCATTTACTCGGATCTAGAGAGATGCCTTGTAAACGAAGTCCAGAAAAATTCCCTAATCTAAAAGACACTGAGACACTTTGTTATTTGTGTTCGAAAAGCCTTGTAAATAAAGATTTAGCAT